TTAAGAGTTTTTTTATAAATATAAACAATATTTATAAACGGAATGTTTCCTTATTATTTATATTTCACAAAAACAATTAAAGAAAAAGTGTGTTAAAACCTACTATATTTAATAGATGCTTTTTTTTTTTTTATATAATATAAATTATATTTATAACAAGTAAGAGTTTCCTTATTATTTATAATATAAAAAAACATTAAAGAAAAATCGCATTAAAACCTACTATATTTATTAGTGTAATCAGATCAATAAAAAAAAAAATATTGTCAGTTTTTCTATAAATATTTAAAATTTTCTAAAAAAACTTATTATTTATATTATCGTTAACGAATTCTTCAATTTTATAGTAAGGCTTTTTTCAATAAAAAAAAATTAAGTGTTTTCTTTGAAATATAAATCTTTTTTATAGATTTATAACAGACTCTGGTATTTTATTTATAAAAAAACAATTAAAGAAAAAGTGTCATTAAAACCTACTATATTTATGTTTAGTGAGGCTTTACTCAATAAAAAAAAAAATGACATTTAGGTAAAATCAGTTTGTTATTGTATAAACGTAAGCTTTTATTATTTAATTATAAAAACTCTTTTGAAACTGTCTATATTCTTAAAACCTACTATATTTTTTCATAAATATATTGAGAAGCAACGAATTGAAAAGAAAAGGAAACTAGAAAATTAAAGAAAAAGTGTCATTAAAACCTACTCCTAATGGAATCATACACAGAATTATGTTTATTGTTATATATTATATTATTTCTGATGACTTGTATTATTGTCTATCGTCTATAAACTTGATATTTCTCGGTGTTCTAGTATTTATAAAAAAACAATTAAAGAAAAATTGGTCATAAAACCTACTATATTTATGGTCGTGAGTTCGATTACTCGCAATAAAAAAAATATTTGTTTTCATAAATATATGATTGTTTATAATCAAAAAAAGGGTGATTTCGATATATAATATGTATGTATTTAAGACAAAAATATATATATCGTCGGTTAAATAGAAAAATGACACTATTCAAAATGTAATTTTTTTTAAAAGACAAACATTTAAAGATTTTGAATTTATTTAAATTATTATCTTTTCCTTTAAAGATTTAACAAAAAATATTATTATTAATTATTTCCCCTAATAAGAAGTATTAGGGGTAGTAGTAGGGGTAAGTAATACCACTTATTAATTATTATTATTAAGTATCATATATGATTTCAAAAATATTTAGATAATGATTAAGACGACATGGTTAATTTAATTGGCTTATATAAAAGGAGGCAATTCTAGTTTCTAATTTTGAAAAATGTCATTATTGTATTTAATCAACGTATATATATTTATCAGTTATCTAGTCCCCATAACACAAGCTTCAGGTAGTTTAACTTGGGACTAGATGGCGCTGTGTGAATGGTCCTATGATTATTATTATTATACATTTCTCTATTCATACAACATATTCTGTCTGTCTGTCTATACAACATAGGCAGTTAAATCCAGGATATAAGTTGCTCTGATTGAAAAGAACGCCCGACATTCGTATTCCCGTTTTATGAATTAAATACCAATATATTTGTTAGTCATAGTTCAGAACTTAACTTGTGCTATCGTCGTCTTCCATCTCTTATTGTATTAATTTACTGATAAAGACTATAACAGAATAGCAGAGAGAGTGGACTCACTGACCTCACTGAGTTAGACTCATATACTGTTTTGTCTCCTTCATTACTTTTAATTTTTATTATTCTATTGGCAACAATTGTATTAGGTTTTGTTTGAGACAAATAAAGATGATTGTTATTATCACTAGCCTCATTTTTGTTTGAGACAAAAAAGATTATGTATGTGTGTGTGTGTGTGTGTGTGTGTGTGTTATTATATTATTATATGAAATAATCAATATCTACTTATTCATAAAATTTCAAAATTCAGATTCAAGAAATCGCACAATAAAAAAAGAAATGTTTCCTATATTGAGACTAGTTTTTAAACTGGGGTATCTATGGTTTTTTTATTCCATGACCAGTTTGTCCTACCTCACTTGAACTTGGTAAAATCAAATATTGACGTGTATACCAGGAAAAAATTATACAAATATTTTGCTTTAAATTTATGATTTGTGTAATTATATGATTAAATACATGTCCTATTAATGTAAAAATACTGTATTGTTTTGTACATATACAAGAGGTGAGTTCATTTGTTTATATGCTTAATAATTGTTCTTTGTTACATATATCTTGTTGTTTGTTATATAGTCTATCGAGAGGACTTAAAAACCATCGCTCGTAAAAATATCCTTCGATTCATATCCCTGACTGGTGTAGGTAGCGAATGTAGTAAGGTAGGTAGCGTAGGTGGAAAAAGGGCGATCCATATATCATAGCACCTGACAATAGCCCAAAATACTCAATAAAAAAAGTTATTACTTTACATATTTTGAAGATATATATCATGCATTTTTTTAAAGAATTGATATCCAAATATTTTATTGATACCAAAAAGTTTTAATATCTGTTCATGTATAATTAGTAAAAATCAAGGGATCTTACCACGGGCAGAGTTTACCCGTGATCGTGGCGGTTGAAACACTGCCGAAATATCGCAAATTCAATAAATATAAAACGTTGTAAGTAATGTATTCGGTTTGGCGAAGATATCACATAACAAATACTTGAAATGAATACTTTTAGAGGTATATTGTCGCAGCAATAAGATATTATTGAGAAGTTTTGGCTAATAGAGTAAAAATATTCTGAGGAATGATTCTTGAAATAACGGCCTCTGTGCTCTAGCGGTTTAGCACACCGCTTTACTACCGATTGTCTTGGGTTGCAATCCGAGTGCAAACATTTGTATTCATAAGTATGATGGGTTGTAGTGGTCTTGGTGTTTTCTATGTACATATATTAATAAAAAATATATCTAAGTATTTCTGTTGTCTAGTGTACATAACACGAGCTCTGCTTTGATTAGGACTAAATGGGGCTGTGTGAATTGACATTTATTCATGTAGGACATTTTAGCGCTTATGAACGTCAAATTTTTTATATTACATTTTTTCCCTACTGTCCAGTTCTGTATATAGATGGACGTTTAGTATATAGATGGAGAAGAACTGTCAATTGAATTCCTTTTTTTTAAAGTCAGTTTTTTTACGATGTATACACATCTATATCTAACATTAAATGAAAATCCCGTCCATGAACAACTATTGCCATGCACGCTCGTCATTCAAGTAATCGTTTAGTGAGTAATAGGATAATAATAGGCTTTGCTCAGTAAATATGACTTAACAGATGTTTTAAATTTATTTAAGGGGAGTTCCAGTATATCCTTTGGTATCTTATTGTAAATTTTTATACGTATTCCCATAAAAGATCTATTGACTTTTTCTAAAAGAAGGTATTGTTTTGTTATATTCGATGATAATCTTTATTAGTTACATGTATTATATATATAAACCTTCCTCTTGAATCACTCTATCTCTTAAAAAGACCCGCTTTAAAATCCAGATTTAAGCATACATAGGGACGGACAGACAGCGACAGCGACTTTGTTTTGTACTATGTATTAATATTAAATATTATCAAAAAAAAATAACCCAATACGTGTATTTAGGGACAGAAAAAACACATTAAATATAAAGCAACCCTTATATTTCCATTCTTAATAATAAACAAGTCTTATATTGAACAGATTCTTAATATTATTTATTTATGCCACTTTTAAATGTTAATTATATGGTTTTATTATAATATATTATATACTGTTGTTATTTTATTACAATTCATACATTTATTCATTATTAACATTCATGAATAACTACTATATCGATATATTCATTGAATATATTAAAAATATTATTACAAAAATATATAACTATTACTTAGGTATATTATATTGAATTAGAGAGGTAATTTTCGGTAACTATGTTGTATATGCTGAGTATCATAGACTATTTCCGATATTGATGACGCCTAGTGTAATATCTAATTAGAAAATTTGTAATTTATCTAGTAATGAATATTATATTAAAAAAATAAAAATTATATTTGTGGAAATAGTCTATAGTAGATATAGGTAGTTTATAGAAGTGTAATTTTTATTTCCATTTTGTGATATAATATATGTAATGCAACTTTATACAATATTATTAATTTCAGTCAGTCTATTAAAATATATAACATACATTTTAATAATCCATATTTAAATATCTGTAGGGTCAGTGTTTTAAAACGCCAACTGTAGTAGTTTAGGAGTTAAAACGTTAAAAAATCATAAATTTTTGCTCAGAACCATATATAAAAAAGTTTATAACAAAATAAATACAATTATTTAAATAAATCAAATCTAATATATATAAGCGGCTAATTTAACATTACGACAGGCTTGGCAATAGTTCAAGTGTTTCTCAAAAGGCCTAAGAGGAGGGAGAGCTCAAAAATCCCACCCAAAAATAATACCTGTAAGAATAATACTACCCTTATTCATAGAAAAGGAGAAACATTCACAAATCATGCGCGATATATATCGAATACAGTTATAATATTAATATACCAGGCCAATAGATAATATTCAGATATCGAACGGTAAGAAAATTATGTCATAAATATTGGGGACAAGATTCATACCGCATCGCATTTGTATCCAGAAAAAATTACGACAACTATTACGTATTTAGGATACTTATTGTTAATACTGTTAATACAGTATATAATTACATGATCACCCTTTCTCTATTTTCCATGTCGAAATTGTAAAAGAGAAATATTTATGTATAAATTTGTCCTTTCAATAAAACCAGTAATAAAATTCATTTAGCATTTCTGAAATTACATATATGGTAAGTATAAAACAATTTCATTAATAGACTACATTAAATGTACAAAATATATAATCATTATTTACAAAATTCATAAAATTCAATTTATATTATACATTAATTATAATATTCAATTACATTACGTTAAAAATACATTCAGAATATATTTACTTAAAATAATTAATTATAAAAATTATTTATCATAGCATGCATTCATTTCTTACTTATTATATTCCGAGACCTTGTGGTGGTTGCTATTGCTAAACTGTAATTAAGTTTAGAATAACAATATTTATCATTATCACAACATTACGAAAAGCTAGATTAGCTTCTCTCAACTTTATAAATAACTAAATACTTTAATTTACATTATGAGTCTTTTGATTTCCCGTTTGCTGATATTGATGTGGCATTCTCGTTTGGTGATGTGACATTCTCATTTGTTGATTTGACATTCTCATTTTGCGCGATCTTTTTGCTCTTCACGTAGTTGATGTAGTAAAAGTTACCGAACATGTAAATGAAAAGTGCGGCGTTGAGAGCGAGCAGGAAATTAATGAATTTGGGATAGTTGCATTCATTGAACATGACGAAGAAGTTGTGACAGAAGATTATGCAGAACTGTACCTGAAAATACAGAAATTATAATTTAATAACTATATTCTTACTAAGTATGTAATCAGAAACGGCAGAGCATGTTTTGACAATTTTAAAACCCATATTCGAGTATTTACCACCCAACCTATATTTGTACTCATATTCGAGTAAATAAATAAATTGAAGTTTAATTATACATATATTGTTGATGTATTTACATTAATTTATTGTTTAAATATTACGTAAATAGATATATTTTTAATATTACCGAGTATAAGAAAGGTGCAGTTGTCTAATGGTTGAGTCGGGTAAGTCTGCTGAACTTAAACTCAGAGGTCAAATGCCTAATAAATTGAGACGACAGCAAATAATATTGAGAACTAGCTGTTACTCTCGACATCGTCTGCTTTGTAATATAAATGATAACTGCATGTCAAATTTCATGAAGATATATACAGCCGTTTAATGTGAAAAGGTAACAATAGACAGACACTTTTTCGCTTTTATAATATTAGTATATATTTATATTTTTAATTTATGTACACGTTATGAAAACACCGATAACAAATCTCATTAATCAAAAAATTAAGACATTTCAAATATAGTGAAATGTCTGTCCTATCTGTCTACAGTAGACTAGACTCTGTCTTACCCATCTAAGATAATAGTCGCAAAGATATATTTTAATAAATTATTATTTTAAATACATACCAATTGTATGGTGGTGACATGTTTCTTCCACCACAGGTATTTCTGGTACTGCGGACCAAGACCCGAGATGAAGTAGTAAGTGTACATGATGATGTGGATAAAAGCGTTGATTACACCCAGAAGAGTTCCATGACCACCTGGAATGCAAAAAAAGTTTTAACAGATTCAAAGATTACGTCTTCTTTTTGGTCGATTCCTCAAGACTGAGGGTCGTAACCATTATGAATGCTCCTTCTAACCAATACTCTCCAGGAATCTCTATCCTGTGCCTGGATGGCCGACTATATAAGTCGCTTGACGGCATCTCGAACAGAATTCTTCCGTATTCTTTTCTTCCGCAGAGAATATATAAGTACCGTGTAAAAAGTCGTCTATATGGAAACTTTGGCCTGACCAATTTGAGCCGCCAAGCAACCTGCTTTGTAAGTTGTTTCCATCGAAATGTAAATAAGGTAGTTAAATTATAGGATAAGATGCATGATATCTTAGTCCTCTGAAATAGCACCACATGTATCACGGATTTAAATTGATAACGTGATGTCAGTAGGTGATCATGTGTAAAGTCGACCGTTACCACTTACCATTCGGTAGTCCGTGAGATTGCTTGCCATTCTAATTACATTAAAAAAATGTAGACACTGACGCTAGAGATATTTGCAGTAGGAGGAGTTTGCTAGTATTTTTCAAATTATTATTGTAGTTAACTTAATAAAATTTTATAAGACATAAGTATGTACATACGTACGAATAGCTATATGTAAAACATTCGTAATTTTTTTAATTATAAGACCTTAGAAGTTTGATTCATTTTTCAATGTCAATATTATTGTTTTTAATAAACATCTCAGGTACTAAATAGTATACTAAAATCTAAATAGTAGTACTATTAAAAAAAATGACTCAGAAAAGTAAATGTTTGAAATTCCCATACGAATATAGAAGCAAGAACAAAGAGTACTCCTGTTAGATAAAGAAATAACATGTACCTGGTAAAAATTTGACGGCAATCCAAGCGCAAATTGGCATTATGAAGTGATGGTACAAATGTAGGAAAGAAATCTGTCTGTTCTTCTTTCTTAACACAAAGAACACTGTGTCGAGAAGTTCAATGATTTTTGCCATAAAGTACCACCAGACTGCTGCTGCCATCTGTAAAAAATGTAACTCTAGTTAAAAATCTATACGAGTCTCAAAAAATGGCACTAGTCCTTATGTTAAGGCTAAGTTTAATAATAACCTTAAATACCACTTTTAATTGTTAAGTCCCTAGCTTTACTCAGTCTAGCTGTCCGAGTAACAAGAACCTTTGATCTAGTTACCCGGAAGCTGTTACCCCGAGTTTTTTTTTTTTGAGGGTTGATAATGGAATGGTGCACCCGCCCGAGCTAACGGTTTACGCTGACAGGGGGACCAGTGGAGGATGATAAGATGAACATGAAGTCAGGTCAGTTAGCCCATCATGACAAATTCACCAAGAATTTATCATGATGGTTTCCAGGGGGGACCGCGTGGAGGTCAACCTGACATGGTACTTTGATAGTAATGTGTTCATGAGTCCAAATTACTAACAATCACCCTACCCCCCTGTTACCCCGAGTCGATGCCGGGGAAGTCGTTCACCTCAATCTTCGGCACCAACCTTCACCTTCCAAGGGGAGTGTGAATCTGTATCTATCTGGACTTAATACATTACTATATACATATACACTGACTAACCCTGCAAACGATATTATGTTATGTAATTTATTTCTAGATAGGGCTGCCTTTATCACCTAAGGGTATAAAACATAACCTACAATCTATATCTATTCAGGCCTACCCAATATACATCAATAATTTCATAAAAATCGGTTAATTCATTTAGGACTTTGATATTGAATACTATGACCCAATTTACATATGACATATATAATATTTGTAAAAACCCAAAGTGTGTAGTTGACAAGAAAAAAGCAAATAAAAAGAAGTAAATACAATAATTGTTGATCGTCGTTTTACTATGATTGAGAAGTCAGATCAGATTACATCCGGTTCAAATATTTTACGTAATATATTGCCTAATTATATCCATTTAAAACATTTTAGCTACAAACTATGTCAGTACTTATAAATTAGTAATAATCCGAATTACCTTTTACATACATGTATGTATGTATATATAATCATATCGCACACTTAATATAACACTGAATTAACTCAAAACGTACAACCTTTAGAAAATCTACTCTACAGGTACTTACACAAGAAACAAGTTTCAATAATTAAAAAAAAAATCTAATAACGTAGGTAATTAACTGTATTAGGTGTGCGATATATCAAAATACATTTTTAGTACTTTCTTAAACTAAAATAATGATACTAGTACACTAGTAGTACTAGTATTTAATAATTATGGTATAAAAATTACCCTTGAAGCCTTAGGGCTAAGTGAATAATCCACTGGTTGACATGAGAAGCTGTAATCATTCCACCACCCGGAGACCAGACCCTGCAAAAAACAATATTAAATATCTTAAAGGGTATTTTTATTAATGTAAACTTTTGCTAGTAAAGTATCATGTGACCGCGTTATAGTAACCTCCACGCGGTTCCCTTGAAAATCATAAATTCCTGGTCAATTTGTCAAGATGTGCTAAGTGACCTGACCTCATATTCATCTTATCTTAATTCAGTAGTGACAGCGTAATTCATTAGCACAGACGGATGCACCATTCTATTATCACCATTTAAAGGAAACGCCTAATTGATCCAACTTTATGGTCATCTTATCTTACTCCACTAGTGCCCCGCCAGCGTATGCTGTCAGGCCAGACAAGTATCCTATTACTTATTCGTCCATAAAAATAATCTCTGAGAACATATCTTATCATTATTAATATTACGCGAAAGTTTGTGAGTATGGATGGATGTTTGTTAATCTTTCATGCAAAAACTACTCAACAGATTTTCATGAAACTTTACAACAATATAGCTTAAACATGAGAATAACGTATAGGCTATAAATTTCAAGCGGGTGAAACCGCTTGCACAGCTAGTGTATAATAATAATAATAAATCTCAAGACAATTCATACAGCGCCATCTAGACCCAAGGTAAGCTAGCAAATGCTTGTGTTATGGGTACTAAACAACTGATACAAAAACGTACATTTTTTTTCGTAAATACATACATATTATACATAGAAAACACCCAGACCGATGCAAACAGTCATACTCATGAATACAAATGCTTGTACGCTATACATATATACATATATAAATGTTTGTAATATTAGAATCGAACCCGCAACAATCGGAAGTAAGGTGGTGAGGTAAACCGCTAGACCACCGAGGCCATCTATATATAGAAATTGTAAGTACATGGTGGACAACAATAGGAGTCTAAATTAATGGAAAATTCAAATGTTTGTACACTGTGAGAGGAATTGAACCCGCGACCATCGGAAGTAAGTGTGCTAAACCGCTAGACCACCGAGGCTGTCTATATATAGACAAACTACATTGGCGTAACAATAGGAGCATTCATCGGTTAAATTAATGGAAAATTTTTGGTCAACTTTCAAATATTTAATTTCCTTTATTTTCTAATATTGCATTACAACCTTGAACAGAATTGAATGCAGAGGTACTTGCTTGCGAATACCGTAACACTAACCTTGACTTTTCCTATTGCAACAGGTTGTATAATGTGTTTATTGGTTTCGTATATCGACAGACAGTTAGAGACACGACAATACATACATTCTATAAATCATATTTCTGTGTCTATGCTTAGTCACTGACCCACCTTTTATTAACCGATTTCAAATATTAAGAGGTATTTAATATGATTATATTTCTTATAATTATATTGCAAAGAAATTTTTTTTTAGAAAAGCTTTTTGGAGAATTTTTAAAAAAAGGAAGTATCATAATTAAGTAAGACTTGACAAAACTGCGTAACAATACATTGTAACATTATAATTATGTTTCAAACTAGCTTTTGCCCGCGGCTTCGCTCGCGTTTATTAATCCTCTTCGGGGTGGAATTTATCAAAATCCTTTCTTAGGGGATGCCTACGTCATAATAGCTTTGTGCATGCAAAGTCTCAGCCCAATCGGTTTGAAATTGACAAAGTTTCATACAAACTTTCATCCCCATATCCCTTTGGGGGTATGATTAATCAAAATCCTTTCTTAGCGGATGCCTACGCCATAACATCTACCATGCCAAATTTCAGCCCGATCCGTCCAGTGGTTTGGGCTGTGCGTTGATAGATGACTATGTCAGTCACCTTTGAGTAATATATATATATATATAGATTCTTGTAATGTAGCTTTTTTATGACTTGATCTCGTTAGCTATTACAATAGTATAGATCTAATCTATTATTACATCTAAAACCATATAATGTGGTACATGTGCCCAACAGTGGGATGGCAATGGTATATCACAATAATAATAATAACTGTGGACAATTCACACAACGCTATCTAGTCCTAAGCTAAGCAGAGATTGTGTTATAAGTGCTAAACAATTGATATAAATACTTTGATATTTATTTAAATACATAATTAACACCGGACCGATACAAACAATCACACTTATGATTACAAATGTTTGAACCGTGCGAGGAATCAAACCCGCGACCATCCGATCGACCGATCCTTATATTGTAATATTATGTTATCTGTGCTTATGTCTTAATAATATTATAAACGCAAAAGTTTGTGATTATGTTTGTGAATTGTTTGTGTTACTCTTTCACGCAACTGAATACATTTTGATGAAACTTTACAGTAATATAGCTTATGCGTCACAATATCATATAGGGAATATTTTTTATTGGGCGCAGATAGTAATATATACATTCTTCTTCAAATAATTACACTTACCTCATACACCAAGAAAATGCTCATTAAAACTTGTGATATATTATATATCATTATGACATTCTTGAGATCGTATGGCTTCCTATCTCTCATGTAGCGGGGGCCAACTGAATTGCAAAAGTACAGATATGTCGCCAGTATCGTGAGTAGAGGTCCAGGGCCTGACATCAGCCACCAGTTCTCCGTTCTTGGATCTGCAAAAGAAAAACATTTATGTTTTAGAAAAATCACATTTTACACCTTAATAGTATCTTACTAATATTACGAATGTGTATAATGAGTGTGTATGGACGTTTGTTACTCTTTCACGAAAAAACTACTTAACGGATTTTGATAAAACTTTACAGTAATATAGCTTATACGTCAGAATAACAAATAGGCTATAATTTATAAAGATTTTATGTAAATTGGGCGATGTATAAGTGTAATGCAGACGAAGTTGTGCGGGTCAGCTAGTATACTTATATATTAATACAGAATTGAAATGCGTCTATTTTTGTACACGTCTAGAATTCGCAAAAAACTAACCTTATATATTAAATTATCGTGTGACAATATTAGTTACCATACTCCTCCGAAATGGCTTGACCGATTTTTAGGAAATTTTATATTATAGCATATCCAGTAGGTCTGAGAATCGGCTACTATCTATTTTTCATACCCCTAAGCGATAAGGGTTGTAGACTTATAACATTTTTTTTATTTTATTGTGATGTGGCTTTAAAAAATACACACAACTCTAAATTTTCACCCTTCGATCACCAACCCCTACTTTTTAATAGTGATTTTAATTTATATGGCAAACAACATTTGCGGGGTATGATGAAATGAATAAATAAATAATAATAATCACCAGTGACCGGCCGGCCGAATTCTCGCCCGTATGTCCGAAACTTTATGGGTTTTTTTTTATAGTTTTTACATAATATGATATATATGCCTATTATGTCACTGTGAAATAACTTCACTTATAAAATGTGAAGCTTTTTCTGCAAAGAGAGATTGAACATCAGTCACTTCCTCATAACAACATTTTCTCTCTCTCTTAATAAATTTTATTTCAGAACTAATACATCAAGTAATATAATAAAATAAAAAGAGATATACATACAACAGCATCTAGAGCTATTAACAAAATCTATTTATGTATTATGAGATAACCAGACCAATACAAACAGTCATGCTCATGAATACAAATATTTGTATTAAGCGGGGATAGAACCCGCAACCGCATTACACTGCCAAGGTCGCCAAACACAATTTGATTAGTAAACATCAATTTAATATGTTAATTATCAAAGATAAATATATCTTGGAAGGTATTCTATTAAAAGAACATAAAAGATGGATGGACTGTTTGAAAAAAGATACATAAAAGGAGAGTAACTTTCTTTCTTTCTTCATTCCCACAACAAATCTGTTATATACTTGATTGAATCGATTACAAGATCAAGATATGAAAAAAGGAGAGTAAAATCAGATGTGATGGTGGATAGAGATCATTGGCAACATATTGCGACAGCCAAGAATAATGCACAAAGACTAGGAAATGTCTATGTTTATTATCAATCTAATTATGTACATAAATTATATTTTTTTCAGATGTTTATGTCATCTATAGATAGGGTTACCTGCACTGTAATATATCTTATAATAGTTTAGTCAATTGTACTATATTAATAATAATAATAATACCCTGGACGTAATAATAATAATAATAAACATATTACGCCGATCCTAAATAAATGGGACAAGGAAGAAGCAGATGATGATCATGATGATCCCTGGACAATTAAGATAGTGCCATCTAGTACCAAAATATGTATAGCTTGTGTTATGTGACAACATAAATACATTTTTTTTTGTAATTACGTACATAATATACATAGGAAACACTGAGACCAATATAAACAATCTTCTTCATGAATACAAATGTTTGTACCGTGATCCGATGGTGTTTTTTTTTCGGACTACTCTAATGCTTTTGGCCGCAGCTGGCCTTTACAGCTTCACGGGACGTTAGGGGGCGAGTGCAGATGGCACTCCAAACCCGCGCAAGGACTTATGGAGCGGCTAAAGGCCAACTCCTGCCTGACGGATACGACTTTAGTCTGAGGGCACCACTAGGGGTTCGAACCACGGCTCAGGACGTCGTAATATCGATCCCTGTTTGAATTGGACGAGGGATCGATCGGAGGGGTCCGATGATGTAGTAAACCGCTAGATCATCGTGGGCGTCAAAACTATATGCATAATATTAAAAACTAGCTATTCGCCCCGGCTTCGCACAGGTGTACATGTATTATACATATAAATCTTCCTTTTGAATCACTCTATAAAAGTACTCTATAAAGTGGAAAATAAATAAAAAAACTATAGTTTTAATATCAAAATACTAAGTTTTCTTACATAAAAATGATGGCAACCCTGTCTACTGATGATCACAAAAAGTCTGCATATGTTTGTTTCGGAATTAAGCAATTCGGCACAACAGGTAAAATTATTTGTTTTTTAAATATAATGCTGACTAATACTAACTAGTAGCCCGACCCAGCTTTGTCTGGGTGCTTGTCCAATTCCGATTTTTTTTTTATTTTTATGTACATATAGTTGGACCTTTGCTACAATTTATGGAGATTGGAGATTTACAAAGACGTTTTCATTCGCTTTATTATTTTTCGAGTTTCGTTTTTCACGACGGCCTTGGAGGTCTAGCGGTTTAGCACACCGCTTTACTTCCGTTTTGCGGGTTCGATTCCTCGCACGATGCAAAAATTTGTATTCATGAGTATGATTGTTTGTATCGGTCTGGGTGTATCTATGTATCATATATTATGTATGTATTTATAAAAAAAATATCCAAGTAATTACATCAGTTGTCTAGTACCCATAAGAGAAACCGCTTATCTTGGTACTACATGGCGCAGTGTTAATCCAGGTTTATTTATTGTTATTATTTTTACTTAAAATGTTTTAATAATATTACTTATTTAGTAATAATATTTTATTAATTACATCACATTATTTGTTGTCTATAATATTATATGTTTTTATGATAATGCGTAATATATTTATTATGGTCGTTGTGTTTTAGATTTGCATTAAAATGTAAATTTTATATCACATGACTATCAAGAAACGATTTCACAATAACAGTTTTTTAAGTACGTTACTTGATGATGGCTATAAATTCGCCCTACAATATAATTCAGAATGACATCGGCTTTTTGTTGAACAAAATATTAAGCAGGTTATTGGTAGTTACTAATAAATCTTCAATCTTTTTATACTTTATAGGATTTCCTTATTTCTTTAAAATTTATTTCAACACGAATTGCGTTCAACACGAGACGTCGACATTGAAATGCCTCTGTTTACCATCCCCTTGATTGCAGTCGTGATGATATCAAACCATGTTACAGAATGAAATTTTACAATTTCTTTTGTAAGATCTCTAGGCTTCCAGTGAAAAGAGAAAAACAAAACTTTTTTATATACTTTAATTATTTATTTACCTAAAAAAAAACATCTATTCAAAAGAGCAACACACAAGTTTCTTGCTTATTCTTCTTGTGATGAATCTGCATTCCGAATGAGTTGTAGAATAAAAAATATGACTATTCAAAAGTGCTTGTAACTAGTTTATTTGAATAAAGATAAGTTCTATTACTATTCGAAATTGCAATTCGTCTACAAATGGTGCTTGTAAAATTTTGTCAAATTCATCAGGAAGATGTAAAATTATAAATGTCATAATCTCATAATCTACTTAAATAGGTATTTTTTTGGTGAAGCATTACATTAATAGCCGTTATATAAACATTAACTAACGGATTTCCCAGTGTATTAATGATGATTAGTAGGTTATTTTATTTTTAACATATTATGAAAAACATGTAAATGACTTTTGACAACTTGCATACCGCACAAATTGCATTGGGCATTGCCTAGGCTCAAACTACGTAGAAATTGTATTATGCGTACCTTCAAGATTGCTACCGCCGATGGGGTCCATATTACGCTGGATATATTTAAACGTGGCGTAGTTCGAGCTGTCTCTATGACTCATTTGTTATTGGTGTCTCCATCACTGGAGAGACAGTCATAAAGATACACTCAAAAGTTTTTGGTGGTTGTTCGCCAGATTTGAACTCGACGACATTAAAACGAAGCAGATGAGGATATCAATATATACCTATTTAGTGATATCATAAACTCGTAAATCAGCCAATATACAATCAGAAACATATCTCTCTTGAAAATATTGGTCACAAAATTTTTAAGAGATAAGATTTTGTATATATATTATATAAATAAAAAATATATAACAAATTTTGTCAAAAAATATTTTGTAATATTTATTAATTTCTATGTCCCATTGTTCAATTTATTTGGCATAACCAATATAAATCCGGTGTATATTTAATTCCAATCGGATCGAAACAAAACCGGTAAGGTAATTTATTATTATTCTACATACAACAAACGAAGCCATGGACGCAACTGGTGGTTGAATAAAAAGGTTTGGTATCGGCGAAATAACATATTACAACAACATATTAGGACGATGACATTTGGGTTTTAAAACGACTGCTTTTTAGGGTACCGCACCAGAAGGTACTACTATGTAATATTATATTATCTGTGGTACTACGGAACCATTATTTTTTATTTATTTAATTAACTTTAATGCACAAAAACAATGTGTACATATGGCGGACTTAACACCATGCGGCGTTATCTACCAGTCAACCATGAGTGGTGCAGAGAAAGATTGTTGGCGGTGCAATAATATAAATGAGAAATGTCAAAAAAAAAAGATGTATATAAATATAAAGCAAAATATTTTAAATATAAATTTCAATAAAAATTAATAATAATAATAAACATACATAAATAAATGTATAAATATAAACATAGATATATAAATATTATATATAAATAAATACTTAATGATCTGATAATCCATATTTATGGTGGCCATTACTTCGATTGTTCGCCTGAAATTCAAACTGAAAATATCTTTATTCATCTTGATCTATTACAGAGTCTTATGATATGTCAAAACTACTGTCAGTTCGGAATTATTCCGAGATGAGAAGAACTGACAAGAAACTCAGCGCGTAATCTTTTCAAATACATGATTATAACAATAATAATAGCACTATACTTGTAACTATAAACTAATAGAATT